ATATAATATTATGAATAAATCTTAAATAAAAATAATTAATTATATAATAACATATAATATTATATAATATTATAACTATAATATTTTTCTAAAATCAACCCAAATGCAGTGTTAGTATTATACAGTAGAGTGAGATTGCATCATACTTTTTTATTATTACTATTATTATTATTATTATATAAAATATTTTATAATTTAGATGACTTTAAAACGTAAAATATTAATTATTTAATGGGATAATAATTTATATAACTCTCCCAGGGTAAAACCTTAAAAAGATTCAAGTTTTTTCCATTAAGATAATTTGGTTGTTGATAATGTACCTTGTTATTATTAATATTATAAAAAAATTATTTCACAATCTGAACGGTAGTTAATTGTAAAATAATACCCTTAAATTCGGGAGCCCTGACAGTGAGCCTCCCCCAATCCAATGGCCTTGATTTTGCAGTCCGATACAGTCTGGACTGCAAAACAGGCAACCCCTTAATATTAACATGCTCTATTTCTTGTATGTTTCTTAAGCATGAAGCTGACTGCTTTTCCCGTCCGGAGAGTCAGCTTTTTGCGATTTCAACTCTAAAAAACGGTGGAAGAGAGGTTTTCCGGTTGAAAGACGGTGGCTTTGAATATAAAACACCTGGAATTCGACGATCAGGAGCTGAAATTTCAGCGTGATGAAATCGAAAATGAGTAGCGAAGCTAGCAGCAGAGGCAACAGGAGCAGAGAGAGCGTGGTGGAGGATTGGGGTCGGCAGATAGGCTCTTGCTGTTATTGCAAATCCGGCGATCGCACCAGTATTTGTCATGGTTGGTCGTGTTGAATTCCTCCTTCTACTTAGATTGTTTTTATTCTTTCGAACTTTTCCCATGTGCTGACGATTTGGACTGATTGAACTTGGCTTTTGGTTTTGTTTGATTGGAATTAGCAGTTCTGTTGACAGAATTCTTCATTTGATTCTGAAAATTTTGCCAATTTTTAGTCATATACAGAGACAGTGATTTGTTTAATGTAGTATACCTGTGTTGAGGCCTGTGTTCCAGGGCAAGACTATGGACATTATTGAGTAATTAGAATAGTTTTTACTGTAAATTAACAGTTTTTAATTTTGTTTAAGAGTTTAGAAGGCATTTTGATGGAGTACGGGACATGAATTTTCTGATTCCCTTATTCTACTTTGCGATCTGCAGGTTTATGGGCACATAGCATTACAGTTGATGACTATCAAGGTTGGTTTACTCTGAATTTTCTGCAAAAATAACACAAGTACTAGTAATCATACGGAAGAATATTAAAACCTCTTATTGTAGTTAAATTTTTGCTGGTTCTAGATTATGTATGATAATGTTTACTGATTGGTAGCAGCACCTGATTCATATGGTTCTTAGTTATTCGAGTGAGGACCTTTTGGATTCCTGGATGAGAACTTGTAAGGTTCTTTGGAGTCCTCCAGGCCTGTTCTTTTGTAATGAATCTTCATTTTTTTTCCTATTATAATTGCCCTTAGATCTGCCTTTGCTGTGGATTCTGTTTCTCCACTTCTATACCAGTGCTAAATGCACTAGTTTTTTTGTTCCTTTTCACAATTCTTCCTATTTGGTATGATTTATATATTACATTTTCCTTTTTCTAGTTGCCTAATTTAATTATATGGCTATTTTGTTAGATCTAATTGACCGGGGGTGGAGCAGATCTGGATGTTTCCTCTATAAACCTGAGATGCAAAGGACATGTTGCCCATCTTACACCATTCGTTTGAAGGCAAGTGATTTTGTTCCTTCAAAAGAGCAACTTCAAGTGAATAAACGAATGCAGAGGTATGGTAATTTATTATATTATTATTATTATTTTCTTTTTGGTTTCTTTTGCTATAACTTTTCCAATAGTGCATTCTTGAAGAAATATTGTCATATCCAATAAGCCCTTAGAAATTCCAAAATTGAGGTATTTGGATTTGTTCTGCATGGAAAGATGGCTTGGTTTTAACTAGTGACTTATGTGTGAAAATTTTCACAATTTATCTGTTATTTTTGTTAATACACACTCACACACACTTCTTTAGGAGTAAATTACCTAATTGATTGTCAAACTGGTACTTGTCTAGGTTTTTAGATGGCAAGCTGGATGTCAGAAAACCAGTTCAGTCCAAGGAGGATCCGAGTACTTCTAATGCTACAGGCGGCTGTGTCAATCAAGTTTCAAACTCAGTGGCAGATAAATCTTTGTCTCATAACAATAAAGAAGAGAATAAGACAGAAGATTTTATGCATTATTTATCTAACCAAATTGACAATGCAGTGCATGAGTGCATTGAAGGTGGGGAATTTCCTTCTGGAATTCAACTGCCAAAAGCTCTGGTTAAAAAGGTTTCCCATGCCAAAAAGAAGCTTCTAGCTGAAGGATCAGAAGATCTTGTATATACCAGCAACATTGCCTACCAAATAGCAGCCACATTGAAGTGTTCACAATCAGCTGCAACGGATGTTTATCAGTCCAAAATTATTGCAGAAAAATTGGTGAATTCTTTAAATCACTCAGCAAGTATTTCTGGTCTGTCCATTAGGGCTTGCAATGGACATGTTAATTTTTATTCACCTGTTAAACATGGGTCTTTAGATGGAGATGTTCAAATTGTTACTCTACTTGAAGAATCTGCAAAAAGGAATGGAAGCAAAAGCTCTTCATCTAAGAATGTATATCCGCACAGAAAAAAGAGGAAGCTTGAGATTCGTTTAAAAAGGTCTAGTTTTGATCCAGAAGAGTATGCATTGTATAGGCAATACCAGATTAAAGTGCACAATGATACACCAGATAATGTCACAGAGAACTCATACAGAACATTTTTGGTTGATTCTCCCTTATTATTTGTTCAACCATCTATTACTGGTCTGGTTCCTCCCAGTGGCTTTGGCTCTTTCCATCAGCAATACATAATTGATGGTCAGCTAGTTGCAGTTGGTGTTATAGATATCCTGCCTAAATGTTTTTCAAGTAAATATTTTTTCTGGGACCCTGATTTTGCCTTCCTATCACTGGGTAAGTATTCAGCTCTCCAAGAAATAGCTTGGATAAAAGAGAATGAAGTCAGTTGCCCCAGTCTTCAGTATTATTATCTCGGCTATTATGTACATTCCTGTAGCAAGATGAGATATAAAGCAGCATATTGGCCATCTGAGCTTCTTTGTCCTTTTCAATGCCAGTAAGTTCCTGCTTCCTGCTTCTAGTAATTGAACAGTCGTTTGAGATAGAATATGCTTATTAAGCCCAATGATATGTACTTTTTCAACATATAAGTAGTCCATTTGACCCAATGTTATTCACTTAGTGGTAATTTTCATGTTTGATTCTAGCCCTTTATTACATTAATTCTGTTGAAATTACCAATCCTTTTTCGTTTATACCTTAATTTGCTTATGTACATAGCATTCAAAGTCTCATGACCTCAAATAATAATTTTCAGGTGGGTTCCATTTGATGTAGCAAGGCCTCTACTTGACAAAAAGAAGTATGTTGTTTTATCCGGTTTACAGGATGGGGAATCCTCCCAATCTGGAATCCTAGAAAACATAATGGAATTGCAACAGGATGAGATTGACCAAGAAGACAGAAATGATGTTTGTATAGACAATGATGAAGAAATGCTTGAGCCCAAATCTGAAGGTTCTGATGATGATTCAGAACCAGAAACCAGAAATCTGATGTCTGTTGGAATTGAAGATGGGAATTTGACTAACATTTTAATTGGGTTGAGAGGATCTCGGATGAGATATAAGGTATGTAAACAAAGGATGGTTGGCTGTTATTTCAAAGCTCTTTTACCATCCCTCCTGCCTGAATCTTCTTCTTTGTTTTTTTTTTTTTTTTTTTTTTTTGAAAAAGGAAGCAGAAGAATGCAACTATTGGAAAGGGGAAAGAAAAGGTTTTCTTTTAGTCTTATCCATCTCCTTGACTAAATTGACACTGCCATGTTACATATATATAATTAACCATTAAATGATAGGCAGTGGAGTTGAAAATTCTTTACAACCTTTTATTGATACACATTATAGAAGTCAAAAATTGTGTCATAGAAGGGGATCTGAGTCCGAGGAAACTAAAGATAGACTCTGAGTTATGGGCTGCTAAAATTTCGTGCATCTTATTTTGTGATTTTATTCTTACTGTTTTTTCTTTCTGAAGGATATTCAACAAGCATCTGATCCCAGTGACATGGACAACTTGGAGGCACAGTTGCAAAGATACCAAAGAGTGGTGGGTGTAGAGCTGTCTGAGCGGATGATTTGTTCACTAGACTAATTTTATACACTGCATTCCATCGTTGCATTGCTGAAATTGCTGCTAAGGACATGTCCTGTTTAGTATATATTGGTGCTGATCTAGAGCTGCTATGGTGCTATGACATTCCTTTTATTTCTTGGAATGGTAATTGTTTTGTTCGTTTCAAATCAAAATCACAGATTCCTAATCCTGGTTCACCTCCATTCTGTAATTTGAATTTGCTCTGCCCTTGTAGCAGCACTGTTTTTTTTTTTTTTCCCCTAATAGAATCTGCTTTTCCTTTCCCTTCCTAGTAAATATGGTATTGGGTATCTAGTTGCACATTTTGGATGCTATATAATTGCTTTGCTTCCTATAAATGGGATGTGCCAATATGCCCTCGTTAAACTTTCCACATAATGTAAATTGATAACATAAAGAAATTTTTATTGCGCGGGCAATGGATAGAATGTCGAATGTGTAATCCTCTTTTGGCTCTGTGAAGAAAATGTTATTTTAGGGTTAGGTCTATTTTTTTTTTTTTATTTGGATCACCCGGTATCCAGAAGTTCATTGGGTTATCGATTAATCTGAATTTGAGTTGGGTAGGATGCAACGAGCGGTAAAACTCTTCCTTACGAGTTTTAACAGAACTACACTATCAAAACTTGAAACAAAAACCTCTGTTTAAGTTGGAAGAGTTCTCTATCAACTTCTCCATCTACAGTTGGGTAGGATGCAACGAGCAGTAAAACTCTTCCTCACGAGTTTTAACAGAACTACACTATCAAAACTTGAAACAAAAACCTCTGTTTAAGTTGGAAGAGTTCCCTACCAACTTCTCCACCTACTCATGAGTTTTAGGTTTGGTCTTTGTTTGTTGGTTATGCATATGATGGTCCTAACAAATTTTCTAAGCATATGATCGATGCCTTGATGTGAATCATTATTGAATCTACTAATAAGTAAATATCATCTAATTTAAATTCAAATTTTAAGATTAGTATTTAAAGAAATTAATTTTTTTAAATACTTAAATTAATATAAAAAATATACTTTTAAAATTATTTAAAAATAAATTAATAGTTTAGAGAGGCATTGTTCATTGAAACCAAATAATAATATTATTATTATTATTATTCACCAAGAGGTCTCCGCTTGCTATCCCAACTTCGATGACTTTTAAAAAAAAAATATTGTTTTTGAGAACATTGTCATTCTTAAATCAGCAATTAGCTAGACTTGAAACTTGATAACATTTTCCTATCTACCCCCTTGTTCATCCGAAAACATTTGTTGAAATATCTGTCATTTATTTATTATAAACTGATACTTGAGGACAAAAAAAGGAAGCAATTTTCTTTTTGATGAAGGCAATTTCAAGAGGATGCAGCTTTCAAATGCTACACCAGCTGAATCAAAAAGGAATGTAAAAGCTGGCATTATAATAATCTAAATGAAAATCTGAACATTCATTTATGTACCACGATTCAATCAAAGTCTGTGTACTGATCAACTGAATCAGAACCAACTATTTTCAATGTTTTCAATCAGGTCAGACGAGGGCCGACCAGTTTTGAGGATTCACATTAAGTTGAATTGGGGGGGTTGAAGAATGTACAATTGGAATTTGAAGTTGGTTGGATTTTCAGAGTAATCAAGCATCATCTGCATCACTCCCACCAACATGTACTTCTTGACTCCAGTAACCGCTTCCATCAGGACCAGCTAGCTTAAACCTGTTCAACAGCACCTATTAAGAACATGTTACCTAATCAAGAATTTAAAGTCTCTCCATATTTCAGGTTTATCTTTACTGACCGTTCAAGGACAGATTTTCCTTCCTTGTACTTCTGGTTCTTCTCATGGGCAGTTTCCTGAAAGAAACTTTCCAAATAACTAATTGCAACAGAAAAACATATATCATTCAAAATTTTCAAACACCCTGCCATCAGATCTTACATATTTCCACCCCACCATTGATCCACACCCAACACAGAAGATATCAGCCACAGTATGCATCCCAGTCAACATCAGCCTCTCCTCTTTTTCTCCAACAGTGACATTCACTCTGTCAAAGAATGAAATATGAGAATTATATGAAAATGAATAACCATAACACATCATTTTATGTGACTTAATTGCCCAATAGATAATGTAAGTTGACCATCATAAAGAAGAAATAGATCATGTGAGTTGAAACAATGAATAAAACCCTTCATTATCCTAATTAAGAACATAGCTCATTAAAACCAGACACCTGCAAGAGCCCAATCAAGTCATTCACCCCTCCCTCTGTTTATGTACAAACTAAAAGACGAAATGGGCAGATGGCCATTCTCTTATTAAATGGCAAACGAAAAGTTTTCAGCTGAGTCACAAGCTGCATTTTATTTTATCAGGAGCTACAATAATACACTGTTGTCAGATCAAACATTATTTGGCTTGCCCCAAAGTGGCACCTTATATCACAGTGTTCAGTATTCAAACATAAGGAGAAGGTTCCAAAATCAAGAAAACTTACACCTTACTGAAGAGGTAAGCTTTCCCATGCCTGCATTGGAATGCCTGAAGAGAAGAAAACAAGCAAAGACCAATTAGAAAGTTTGCTTCTTGTAGAACCTCCAACCTTGCATTTTATGAACAATTGAACACAATGAAAATTGTTCACTCTAATTTAAGAGCAAAACAAAAGGCCTTCAAATTGCTGAACCATATCAATAAGTATCCTCCTTGTATACCATCTATAACTTCTCCAAGAAACCCTACCTATCTCCTGCTATACTAGGCAAAGATAGCAAGAGGGTCTGGATTTGTATTGTATCCTAGTACATACAATTCAGAGACAAATAGTTTCAAAAGCATTACTAAGTTGGTTTCAAAGAAATGTGGATGCATTTCTTCCCAAGTTTTTAGTAGGAAATCATGGCTGTTAGATTCAGCATCAATAAAACTACCAGATCTTAAGTAACATCATTTTTAGACAATTTCAGTATCAAGGATCAATTATGGCAGTAATGGATATGCCAATAAAATTAACCGTCAAATATAACATTCATATTTATATAAGGCTACAATCCAGTCCATGCAACAGATTCAGTCTTTAGGGAATGCCATTGGAAAATACATTTAGCATCACACATGATTAACAAATTAAGAGTCACCACAAATACGGTATCCGCTAAGAAGACAGTAAATTTGATATCCATTAGTAAATGTCAATTTTAAAGTCATGAAATTTTCAACATATGCCAAAACTCAAAAGACCAGAAAATCCCATACAGGATAACGAAGTTCCTAATTTCTACGGCAAAACAACCAATTGATCATTGTCAAGCCTACTCAGCTATCATATTAACCACATAAGTAAAGAAAACGCTACCCCTAACAACAAATGCCATTCTATTATATAATGAAACACCCAGATAAATCCTTCTCTCTTGATTTCTGCTGCTGATCGCTAATTAGTCACAAATAACCATCAAGATATGAACACAGTGTTAATTGCTGTACTGATTGAGTAGCATGGATAATTCTCCATGCATGACCCAAAAAAAAAAAAATTAAACACAAAAAGATGAATCCCAATTTTCCCACAAGCATAGCATGCAAGCATATACAATGAATGAATCAAATCAAACATTGAGAAAAGATCAAAGAGGAAAACAAACAACCTTGGAGATGACATCCTCACAGAGGGCTACATGGGTTCTACAGTGCTTGCAACTATAGATCCTCCCTTCAAGATTAACCACAAACAACCTCCCCATCTATCCCACAGATCTTTGCAGGCAAAACCAGAATCCTTAAGTGGATATCAAGAGAAAATTGAAAACTTTGATACCAAGATCGAGTTTTGACAAAACCCACAAGTAAAAGATTGAAGATTGACAAAAGGGTATGCAAAATTTAACAAGATTAACGGATTATAGGTTAAGAAATGGAAATAAATTTAACGAGAAGGAGATCCTAGAGAAACACAGAAAGGAAATGAAGGGAGATGAAAGAAGGGGAAAGGAAGGTTTGGATAGCTGAGAGACGTTTGGTGATCGCGCACCTCAGTCTTTCTACTTTGTTGCGTAGTCTTTATCGTGCTGTGAAGAATAGTTTTGCATAAAATTCAGACCAAGAAGCTATCAAATTTCACGATTTATTGCGCTTTTTCTGTAAAGTGGAACCTGACAAGACGTGTATTCTACGTGTGTTTTTGCCTTTTTTAAAGAAAACAGAAAGGACAAAATTCCTTTCTTTTTAAATTTTAATTCTGTTCGGTTAAGTCATTTAATTGTTCTTATAAAAGGTTGACTTGCATTATGCCCTTAATCTAATGCTACTCACAGTATTTTTGATGTATATTTATAAATTTTTTTGTAATTTATACATTTAGTAAATTATTTATTCTTGCATCTGGCCCTTGAGGCCTAGTGGCAATAGCTACCTTGATGCATTCTCCATTTCTCGGGTTGGGTTCGAAACCCGCTCCTTGCAAATATGTTCAAAAAAAAAAGTAAATTATTTATTTTTATTTTTTTTGAAAAGATTATAAAAATCATCTTATTTAAAATTAATAAAAATTTTAAATAATTTAATAAAATTCTCAAATTTTTTTCATACATTACATATTAAATTATTAATTAAGTTAATTTTAATAATAATATATTTAATTAAATAATTTTATAATAAGTAATTTTTTAAAAATATAATTACTAAATATTAAAATATTTTTTATGATAATACAATACAATACTTTTAAGTTTTAACAGTTATAGTTATAAAATAACATATTATTAAATTAAGCCTATAAAAAGTACAATTTAATTGATAAAAAACTTCTTTCAATGATAAAATTATCAGACCCGAGAAAATAAAATTCTATAGAAAATATCTTAAACCCAGATTAGCACAAAGGCCTATATGCATTTGGTTTTTTACCAATTCAGAGTGTTTTTTGGGTCAAATTCTATGTACTCTAAATTAATTTCTTTTGAAACAACCTAAATACACGTCAGATGAACCCTTCTTTTTTTTGAATCAGCCCTCAGGTGAACCTTCAATGCATTTTTCTTTAGCCACAGCCTAAATGCATCACAGGCACGCAGAATAGCATTGACTGTCAATGTACAATATTATCTGTTTAACAATCAAGGCATGCTTCTTTCTCAACTTCTAAACTTCTAAATAATTACTCTAACACAAACTTGTGTATGCAATGTACCTTTGATTTTTTTTAATTTTATTGTTAGTAATATGTATGAAATGGAGACACTTATAAGTTTTTTTTTTTTTTTTAATGGGAGAGTCATTTAAAAGTTAGAATTAACATAAATAACATACCAAATATATATATTTTATCCAGCACAAACTCACAAAGAAAAGTCAACATAGGCTTAAAAAAAAAAAAACTAAATTAAAATACTTTTACTTAATTCTTATTTGAACTAGCATGCTTATTGTTTATTGTATTTGTTAGTCTCAATTGAAAAACAGACATACAATTTAATATTCTGTAAAAGATTCAGAAAACAATAACACTGTTTAATTTAGATTCATTTTCCTTCTTCCCAAAATTATTATATGTTTTAATGTTTGGAAAATTTTCAATCACATACTAAATTTCTCTCTCTAATTAGGCCAAAGATGGATTAACTACTTTAGAATCCAGAGCTCACTAGCACTTGAAAACCATTGTTCTTTCAACTAAAAACAGGATGATATGAGTTACCTAGTCAATATAATTCACTAATTTCAATGTGAACGAACACTTTGGTCTATCTATTTATTGAAATCCCAATTAATATAATGGGTATGATATATATATTTATATTTATATTGGTTGCACAACTGGAGTCAAGCCTCTCTCATCTTTCATCTTACATCACCTATATGTCATGCGACTTAAATTCAAGATCTATTACTCTCAACGAAAAGAGATTACTACTGAATTATTTAGATAGTTAACATACAAATCAACTTACTTCCAGCAATATGATATCTTTAATATTTTACAGGAAAACATACAAATCAATTTAAAAATGTTTAGTCTAATCGTTTTGATCTGTTTGTAACTGATATTAAATATTCAATAATTGATATCTATTATTGCTTATAATTTTAACACTATAAACCATTATATATTGAGTATTAATTATAAATTTATTCAAAATCACGTCTAAACTCAAATAGAGCTTAAGAAAAATTTTAGGAGACAAGAATGAAAGGACTTGATGTTATACAATAGTGAGTCACTGGTTAAAGGTAGCAACGAAGCCGATGGGACCCTTGCCGGTGACTGCAGCCTGGATTCCGAAGATGAGGAAGGCCACCATGGCTAGCCGGGAATGCTTGATCTCTGCCAGCTTAAGGTTGTCGACCTTCTCAGGGTCAGAGGCTAAACCGAGGGGATCGAAGTAGCCTCCAGGGTATAACCTCTTCTCAGGGTCAAGTTCCGCATTCCTTTGAAATTCAATGTAGCCAATTACCAAAACTTCAATCCATATTAATGTGGTCAAGGAAAAAGGCAGGGGTTGGCCAAGGTAAGATGATCCTTCCACTAGCTCCACCTACAATTAATTAATTTAACCAAATAAAAATATCATTATTCCAGAGAGAAAGGGAAAAAAAAAAAAAAAATCTATCAAGTGTTGGGATTTGTCTCCATTGAGTAATAATATATGTCATTATCAACCATAGTCATCATGAATTTTTGCTTGTTTTATAAGAAGACACGATGAAGAAAAATATTCTTGAGGCACCCTTGTTCTTCATAGCGTTGCATAAGGCTCCCTTGTTTTATAAGGGGTTTTTTTTTTTTTTTTTTAAAAAAAAAAAAAAGTTCGAGACTTATCTTATAGACTCAAGTATGTACCATTTGTTTTTCACTTT